GATGTCACATTTATGCCATGAGACCCTTCCAATGACCTAGATCTAAAGTCAAAACTCCATATAGCCCTTCACAAATTTGAAAATGGCTTAGAAAGCCCTAAAGATACTCAAAATCCAAGCCCTAAGGATAAATAAACACATGGAAGGCCAAGACAGGGGCATTTTACCTTGAATGAGCTGGAAATGGAACAAAATCTCTGGATCTCCAAGCCCCAACTTGGACTCTCAAGCTTCCTTCCTCTTTTCAAGCTTCACAATCCACCAAAATGCACCAAAATAGCCTTAGGACACTCACACAAGGATAGAGTTTTCAGATAATGCTTTCTAGGAGTAATAGGGATTGTGAAGGCTGAGATAAGTTGTTTAAATAGGGCACAAACCCTCAAAGTTAGGGTTTCACCCAAACATCACCTACTCGCCGAGTCAGTCTCCCAACTCGTCAAGTAGGTCATTTAAACTCCCCGCGGATCACGACTCTACTCGACGAGTTAGGCCACCAACTCGTTGAGTCCCAAAGAAAAACATAAGAAATACTTGAAAGGAAGCATACCAGGGATCGGGTGTTACAATATTTTGGTTAATCTAGCCAAGATTATGGTAGTGATGCGGTGGAAAGTGTCGAAGAATGCATCAGAGATATGTAGCTTCTTGGGTCTAGCAGGGTACTATCGGAGATTCATCCAGGATTTCTCCAAGATTGTGGTGCCTTTGACCCGCTTGACCAAGAAGAATGTGACATTTCAATGGGGCCCAGATCAGAAGTTGGCTTTCCAGACCTTGAGATAGAGGTTATGTGAGGCTCTGATTTTAGCACTACCTGATGGGTTAGATGATTTGGTGGTGTACTGTGATACGTCTATCATAGGGTTAGGCATTGTACTGATGCAGAGAGGGCATGTGATCACGTACGCCTTCAGGTAGTTGAAGCCTTACAAGGTGAATTATCCTACTCACGACCTGGAATTAGGGGTAGTGGTGTTTGCCCTCAAGATTTGGAGGCACTATTTGTATGGAGTTCGGTGCACAATCTTCACTAATCACAAAAGTTTGAAGTATTTGATGGATCAACAAAACCTGACCATGCGGCATAGGAGGTGGTTGGATGTGCTAAAAGATTATGATTACGAGATCTTGTACCACCTATGAAAGGCCAATGTGGTGGCCGATGCTTTGTGCCGCAAGGCACCAAATGCTCCAATTAGGGATGTCTGTTTGAGGATGACAGTGATCCCTTCATTGTTGGATATGATCAAGGAGGCTCGGGTGGAGGGTATGAAGAAAGAGAAATGGAAGATAGAGCGGATTCGAAGTCAGTTTCCCTTATTTGTTTGGGATATTCGAGGTCTTCTGATACAGTTTGGTCGGGTGTGGGTACCGGTAACCAGGGGTGTGAGACAAAAGATCTTGGAGGAGGCACACAAATCCAAGTTCTCTATTCACCCGGGGACCACAAAGAGGTATATGGATCTGAGGTTCACTTACTGGTTGCCCTGCATCAAGTGGGAGATTGCATGGTTCATGGAGCGGTGCTTGACCTATAGGAAGGTCAAGGCCGAACATCAAAGGCCTCATGGCAAGGTTCAGCCGTTACCTATTCCTATGTGGAAATGGGAAGAGATCACCATGGACTTCATCATGAAGTTACCGAGGACAACAAGGGGTGTGGATGCCATATGGGTTATTATGGATAGATTGACGAAGTGTGCCCACTTTATTCTGATCTTCGAGAGCATCTCCGCTGAGAAATTAGCAGATATTTATCTACGAGAGATGGTGGTTACGCATTGGGTGCCAGTGTTAGTGGTCTCCGACCGGGATGTCTGATTTACATCCAGATTCTGGAGGAAGTTCCATGAGGAACTGGGCACTCAGTTACATTTCAGCATGGCTTACCACCCCCATACATATGGACAGAGTGAGAGGAAGATCTGGACACTGGAGGATATGCTTCGGGGATGTGTATTAGACTTCAGAGGGAGTTGGGATACATACCTCCCACTAGCAGAGTTTTCATATAACAATATTTATCATGCTAGTATTGACCGACCCCCATTTGAGATGTTATATGGTTGGAGATGTAGGACCCCTGTTTGCTGGGGTAAGGTTGGACACCAAGGTGGTGCTCAAGACTACTGAGTTGATTCAGCAGGTACATGACCGGCTGCGAGTCGCAAAGAGCCATCAGAAAGGCTATGCTGACCGACGCCGATCGGATCTTGAGTTTCAGATGGGAGACTTTGTTTTGTTGAAAGTGTCGCCATGGAAGGGGGTCATCAGGTTTCGGAAGAGGGGCAAGTTAGGACCCCAATAAATTGGTCTATTCTGGGTTTATTCCCGAGTAGGCAAGGTGGCTTACCATTTAGATCTGCTGGACGAGCTTAGCCAGATTCACAACACCTTCCATGTGTCTCAACGTTGGAAGTGTGTCACTGACGAGGCCGTAGTTATTTCATGGGACGACATTCAGGTTGATGAAAGCCTGAACTACATTGACAGACCCATTTTAGTTTTGGATAGGAAGACTAAGGTTCTTTGTAACAAGTAGGTGAAGGTGCAATGGCAGCACTGAAGAGTCTCCAAATAGAAATGGGAGCCGATGAGATGCGGGAGCATTACCCCAATCTGTTTGCATCTGCGGACTTCGAGGACGAAGTCTAGTTCAAGTAGGGGAGACGTGTAACACTCCGAATCAGGTATTACGTTTGGAACCCTTGAAATTATAAATATTGCATAATGGTCACTTAAGTACGTTGACGTACTTCAGGAGTACACTTAGCGTACCATGCATGGATGATCGCGGAGGGCTAGCACGTACGTTGGGCATACCAAAGTGTACGCAGGGCGTACATTAAAAATGTTAAAACCCTAATTTCCGGACTTAATACCTATATAAGCATCCATATCTCACTTTATCCTCACTATATCTGGCCTCCTACACCCTCAAACGTCCCTAAAAACCCTAAAATCATTAGAGTGTGTGTTCTTGAGCTTGTGAGTGACTAAACACCATCCTTTTTGTGTGTTAGCTACAAGGAAGAGGAGGTAACAAACTTGAGAACACTTGTGTGAATCAAATCTCAAACTAAGGAAAAAGGTTTTTAAAAATTATTTTCAAATATTTTTCAAAATAATCGAAGAGGATGCGATCTGTAAGGTCAACCGGATCTAGTTAGTAGACCCGAAATTACCACACTGTTATTTGATATTGTGATATGTTAGAAAAACATGCTAGTGATAGGCTAGGGATCTTTAGGAATTGCATGATAGAATTTTCTGGTTATATGATGCTTGATAGCCTTGGGTTCTTCCTTATATGAAATTGACATCATTACTGTAGTTGCTTAGTGTATGCATCATAGTTGTACATAACTAAGATTTTATAGCTTGGGAATGTTTGGTTTAGCCTTATTTCTTATTGTTGTTTGATGAAGGGCTTAGGGTGGAATCAAGTATTCAACTGCCTATAGGATCCAATGTTATGTATGATTAGCATACATGAGTATGACAGTGTTGGTGGAAATTTCATGTATGAGTTTTGTGGGTCCTGTCGACTAGTCGCGTAATGTTTAGCCTTCCTCTAGGATGTGAGGATAGAGTGTATGTGTATGCTAGTGTGTAATGTTAGGGTTGTTGTGATGATCCTATGAGACAAATATAGGTAGGTATGGAAAGTAGTATAGGGCTCGTACTAATGGAAGCATAAGACCCGTACACGTAACAGGGAAGTCACAACCCTTATGGATTTGTTGGGATTTGACTCCTTGGTATGTTTCTATTTATTGTTCTATTGATTATGTTTTATGTTATGCTCATGTATATGCTCCTAATAGGTACGTTCTTAATGAACTCTTTGCATGCTCTTGTATTATTTGATGCAGGCGTGATTCGGTCCTTTGTATCTTGATCTTTTAGTATAGAGTTTGATATGCCTATTGGGGAGTTAGAGTGTCTGTTGCGGTTTTCTAATGCCAAAGAACATGGGGTTTCTGCATGCGTAATGTATCACGGTTGTGTATCGGAGATCTTTGGGTTGTCTTATCCTATTAACCTAATCCCTATCCCCATAGGCAACTTCATTTCCAATGCCCATTGTTGTTTCAATAAAAGCAAGTGGCATCTTTGGGATCAGACATAGGAGGAGCATCAGAACTGGATTTAGCTTTGGGGTCATTGATTGACAAATCAACTTGAGACTTTCCCTTCTAGTTTTTCTTTGGAGAACCTTTCCTCTTTTTCCCTTTTCCTTTACCAATGGCGAGAATGGGAGAACTAGCAGGAGTGGAGGCAATACTCCTTCCCTTCATCCTGCTTCAGTTGTTCATAACGTTGTGTAATTAAGCCAAGGTGGTCTCATTGTTATTCAGATGATAGGTCAAGATGAACTAATCATAACAACTTGGTAAGGAGTTCAAGACTATGTCAATATCCAACTCCTCATCAAAATTCACATTAAGACTAATAAGGCGATCCACCTATCATTTCATCGTTTACACGTGGCTGCTAATAGACTCTCCCTCTTTCATTTTGCTTGCTATGAGGTACTTTACCACCTTGTACTTTTCTTGACAAACTCGCTTATGGTACTTCTCCATAAGTCCCTTGTTAATCTCGTACGACCAGTAATCTCATAGAATATTTCCAAGTGAAACGCAATTGAACGGATAGATGCATTAATACCCTTCTAAGAGTCTATTTTTCTTGATTATTGCCTCGTCTCTAGTCTCACTTTTTTGCACGAAATTGAGCATACACTTATTAAAAATCAAGGGCTTCGACTCATAGCTTTAAATGACATGACTTTTCTCGTAACGTCATATCTCTATTTTCTCATTTTTTTTTACTAAATCTGTGACAAAACAACCTATGGTAGAAAGAAGAAAAATAACCATCACATAGTTTGGTTACAAGTTGTCAAAGATAAAAATTCAAAAACTCAAAAACTAAAGCACACTAAAAATAACAAAGAAAATAAAAATGAATAAAAATAAAAGGGTAGATAATCATTCTTCATCTTCATCATCCCGTGCTCCGCTAGTCCCTGCTTCGTCTCCCTGTCGCGACCAATACTCGCCCCATGAAGGGAAAATTGGGTATTGATTTCCCATGTTAGGTGGTTGATTAATGTTAAAGTGTTGAATCATGTTTTCCATTGTACCACCTATCCAATTCATACTCAAGCTCATTCGATCAAAATAACCCGCCATCATCTCAACACAGAATGATCCTCCTCCCATAGGTACATTTTGTTGCACCGATTGTCCTCTCATAACACTCCCCCTCATATTTCTCCTTCCTCTTGGACACGGGTGCTGCTCAAGTTTCCCAAATTGCTCCCCATCGTTATCGGTAAGAATACTCCAATGCGAACTCATATTAACAATAACATACATGGACTCCAAATATCCCAAAGAAAGATCATCCTCTGCCTTACTGCCACAACTAGCATAATTGGGCTAGGAAATTATGTCTATATGTAATCAACTCTTGATGTATCTTGTAGCTTCAAGTTTAAGGTTATACATATTACTTATTCAAAAACAATTATTCGAATCAACACTCACTCGTGAAGCTGTAATCCTAATTTAATAAATTTCATAGACTCAACTTCAGGTTGTAACCCTAATATCCCGGTTCAAACTCTTATTGGACCAGGACCCCCTTATTGGGCCTAATGGGTCAATAAAATCTCAATTGGATTATTTTGGGTTAAGGAACCTCATTTGGGCCCTAAATGAATCCACATTCATTAAACTATAGCATTTTAGGCCATAAGACTTTTTATGGGCCTTATTGGGCCTAAAATGGCTCACTTAGTTTTCGTGGGCCTTATTGGGCCAAAAACCACATAAATAATTGTAATGGGCCGAAAACCCATTGTTTTTACCCCCTTTTGGGCCGTAAATTCACAAGATAGCCCAATGGACCGAAAAATTTATTTTGGGCTACCCTAACTCGGTTGATAATCCATATGAGCCCAACAATTATTCATTCCTTCCCTTTCTCCCCTCTCATTCTCGGTTATATATATATATATATATATATATATATATATATATGTGTGTGTGTGTGTGTGTATGTGTGTATATGTATGTGTGTGTAAAAAATAGATGAAGGGTAAGGGATTACATGTCAACTGATTTTTATTTTGAGGTAATCCAAGCTAATACCTCGCATACATCTATGACTAAACCCTTCATGTATTAACCAATCTAATATTCCCTCTCATTCTTCTTAAACTCGGACGAAACATTCACCCCCACCTCCATTGCTTATTTTTCACTTCAAAAAACAAAGAACTCCCTTCCAATCTCTCTTAAAAATCGTGAGTTAGAGTGTGTGTTCAAAGGAATCCCTTGAAGCCTTCTATCCATTTGGTAAGTGTTAAACTAAAATCAAGTTGACCTAGTCTATAATTAGTCCAAAATATGCCTCATGAACATCATGTTTTCATGATCATGTTCTTAGAACTCCAAAAATTTGAAGACCTCACCAAACGAGCTTGCTAGGCCGAAAACACCTTCTTCACTTCTTCAAAAATCGAATCCATCTCCCAATATGAGTTCATACCCCTTATTTTTTGTTTTTACTATGTTTTCGGGGAGGATACAAGTTTTTTGTATTAGATCTATGTGTTTATGCATGTTTATGTATGTTTTCCATATTATATGATGTGATTATGTGTTGAAACTTCATAAATTTCGAAAGATCTACTAAAACTTGGTTATGTTTGTAAATTAAAACACTTTATGCAACTTATTATGAAGATGAAAGGAATAAACATGTTAAGGATCTTTGAACCTAAGTAAAATCGTATAAGGGTCCATTTTTGACAAATAAACAAAAGGGTGAATCATGTTGGATCTTCACGGTTTTTCAAGGACCAAAAGAGTCATTTTTATATATAAATGGGTCCTAAAGATATTTACGGTTGTAAAAAGGGCCAAAAATGTTAATTTTCACAAAATAGGCATAAATTTGGGCCTTCACGGTTTCATGGGGTTAATTTGTAAACTTTTGACTTTTGTTGATTAAATTGTCATTTTAAACAAATTTGAACCAAAAATGTAAATTTTCAGTTAAATGGGCAGAAAATGTTAATTTTATCAAACTTGGAACGAAAAGGTAAATTTCTATACGTTTGGGCCGCAAATGTCAATTTACATCAAAGATTGGGTCGAAAATGTTATTTCTAACAAAAGTGGGCTAAAAATGTTGTTTTATTTTAAATAAGCCCTTAAATGTAAACTTTTGGTCTAAAAGGACCTAAAGTGTCTTTTTTACCAAAAATATGCCTTAATTGTAAATGTTCGGTTTAATGGGCCAAAAATGTCATCATTACAAAAAGTGGGCATTTTATGTTATTTTGATAAACAATTGAGCTAAAACAAACAACGTAATAACAAACAGACTAAATACATCATTTTCACTTTTATTGGGTCTGAAATATATTGTACATGTTTATTGGGCCTTAGTGGTCCATTTACATGCTTATTGGGAATTTGTGGACAATTTACTTGCTTGTTGTGCTTCATACATTCACATACATACTCGTTGGACCTTGTACACTTAAAACATACACATAACTATTATTTACTACATTACATAATGTAATACAATATTCGCATAAATTCAGTTAAGGCTCTTAGGAGACATTTCATTTATTCGTACCTATATAGTGTACAACCGTAATCCTGTAGTTATAACCTGAGTCTCCTGGACGGAGAGCGAGAGTTTGTGTATAGATCTATATGGGGTTGACACCCCACACCTGAGCTGTTCGCTACAACTAGACTAGGCTAGTTTAGGGTGACAAACATTACCTTAAACACGTCGGCGCTTGAAAAACGTCATGACAGGCGGATCAGTCATATCAAGTATGGTTATAACGACTAACATAGAGATTAACTCCGTTATAAATTTACGGAATACATATACCATTTTGATGATACAAAAACATACATACACTGGTACTCGGTCTTAGGGTATTAAGACCACAACACTTTTACAATATCGGATTTTCTGAGAAAACATACAACTATACAATACTTCTACTTACAACAAAAAATATAGGATTTTCTGGGATACTTACTTTATACATTTTCAAACAAAAACACACATGCTTTAATATAGGATTGGACACAAAACTTTCAAACCATTTTTACAGAAAATATCGGATTTTCTGGTGTTTACTAAATAATACAAAACTTTTCATTCAAACATGCTTATGCACTCACCAACATTATTTATGTTGATGTTTTAAAAATAACTTGTATTCTGAAGAAGTTTTTAAGCAGGAGGACATCAAGAACATGTGGTTTTTTGTTGCATTTTGTTGCTATCATAAACCTTATATTTTTGGATGTAACTTTTGTAAACAATTACAATGATGTAAACCCAGTATTGTTGTATTATTGTATGTGTGGTGATGATGTTGTCTTGTTTCAATTATATACACTGTGATGATATTACAAGATGAAGTCACCCAACCCCCATACATTTCCGCCGTTTCTCTGGTTCGGGGGTGTGACACTTACATGTTAAGGTAAAAGTCAAACGAGGCGTCAAAAGACCATAAGACCTCGCTAAGCTAGTAACAAAATGTTCTCCCACGATAGGGCTTCCGACTCGTGATATGGCCACCTTGTTACCCAAGTAACTATCAAGATGGTATGAGATATTGCAAAAAACCATCGGTACAATAAAACACCACAACAATAACAAATTTAAACTTGTCACTTTGTCTCCGTGCTTCTTATTATTGATAGAAAAGGTAACCAATCGATGGAGGAGTCGAAGAATCGGTGACCAAATATGGGTCTCTTGAGAGACACCCGAATAGAATGCCTCGTTTGCAATGGTAGTCCCAAAATCATAACCACTCACCCCTGGTAAATATTCTCGAGTAGCTGACCTCAAAAAGATTTCAAAAACTGAAGATCTTGTTTCATTCTCATCATAAATACACATCATCCAAGAAAATTCAGTTAAACTGCAATCCTGATATTCTCCCCCAAGGCGAAAAACTAAAGCTCGTGCAAAGTATGGATCCACCGTAGCATCCTCAAATGATATCGATGCGAAAAACTCCACACATAATTCTTGAAAAACGGGCTCGCTAATAGCAAATACATTCTTCCACCTGTTACAAGTGAAAGAAACCCCATCCCCCGTAAATGTCTTCGTTAAATATAGGGCCATCCTTGTCGTGAGTCCTAGTTCTCCTAATTTGACCTAATCAATCTTAGGAAAAACAATGAATTCTCTGTTATGTAACAACCCCAGCTTGTTCGTAAAATTCATCACCACACTTTTGGGCATGTTGACCAGAAGTTGATACAATGGGTTACAGTAAAAAACATTCCTGTGAAACTGCTCATTGGTTCTCCTTGAGGCCATTTCTACAAAATAGACAAGAAACAAAATATAAGGAAAAAACAAAGATCAAAAAATGGCAAAAAAATCATAGAAAATTGTGTGATCCAAGCTCATATCGTGAGCTTGAGCACCACATCGTGAGCATAGAACTACAATCGTAATCGATCCAATTTCAAGAATCAAAAAGCCAAAATTTTGCCAAGGATTTTATAGAATAGCATTATAATGCTCAAAAATCATACATGCAGTAACTATTTCACTAAAAAAATGACTTCAATTTCGGTGATGAACAAACCCTAGCCTAAAATGCCTAAATTAGCAACATTAAGAAGTTTAGAGTATAAAAATCTTACCGAAATTGAAGAATAAACACAAAATTTGGGAGGATCTTGAAGAAAATAGAGGATAATCGGACACAAATCGAGTGTGGGGGATCGAATTCAAATGTTAGTGCGAGTGGTGTAAAAGTGAAAGTCAAATTGAATGTTCTTTGTTTAAACCGGTCGCCATCTCGTGTTCTTATGGCTCACGTCATGAGGATTAAACCTCACGTCGTGAGTTTCAAAGTGATAGAGATTATTGGTGAATAATTATTTTACCACATTGTGGGGCTTAATCCCACGTCGTGATGTCGAGGTTTTTTTGACCAAAAAATCAATTTTTTTTCTTAAAAATTTATCCAATCTTTAAATTTAACCCCACACTTGATTTTTTAATTATCTATTTAAAAAAATAAGATGACTTGGATGAGTATTTATCCTAAAGCTTAATGAAAATGCAAAAATAACAAATGCAAAAACTAAAAGAAAAATGAAAAGAAATACGCAAACCGAACTTGGGTTGCCTCCTGAGAAGCGCTTCTTTTTGTTGGAGTCATGAGCCGGACTCTGTATACCCTACATTGTGTTGTTTGGAGTATCAATCACCATTTTCACCTTCTGTTCCCTCCATTTTTTCTTGTATGTTTGCACTCTTCTTAAGTAGGCCTTCTTAGAGT